AATCATTTGAAAGTCACGCGCAATCTTCGGGAAAACTTCTCGTGGACAGATGACAGGGGGGGATGAATATTTTCACGAATATGTTCGCCACCACAGAAACATAACTAAATATATTGTATTTATTGTATTTTTATGATTTATGATAAAAACAATAAATATTTGCGTAGTTTTGTCATAAATCATAAAAATACAATAAATACAATATATTTAGTTACGTTTCTGTGGTGGCGAACAAACGTTTCGTGAAAATATTAATCCCCTCTGTCATGTGTCCACGAGAAGATTGCGCGTCACTTTCAAATGATTTGTTTATTATTTTGAACCTAAATGTATACGGGAGGGTTTTTCCTTCCGAATGGGACAAATGTTGTTAATTTTTAGATTGGGACTATGCTACAATGAAGTACTATTGGTTACTGTAATCTAAATACATATGAAAACGAAGAAGTGGCATTTATCGGACAGAGAAGCGGCGAGCCATTAAAATGGCGGCAATTTGACGAAATATCGAAGGACACAATATCGAAGGACACAATATCGAATATAAAATACACTGCACTGTCTCTCAACTTGGTGAAATTTGGTTGAAATATTTTTTAGCCCTTTATGATTATGTAAAAGTGCAACAACTGGATGATATTTGCGAGACTCGGCGATAAAAAGCAAACAAGACGGCAAAGTATGGCCGATATCGTGTTTTCGTGGGGTGTAAGTGAAATAAAATGTATTATATTAAAAGAAAACAATGACAATCCTTATGAAATCCACAATAATTATATTGAAATAAGCATAGTTTTTCATCCCATGATAATTTTTTTTAGGAAATAAGAAAGTTTAATTTCTGTAAGACATATTAGTTATTTTGTGCATAATCAGCAATTTACCTGGGGTGGTGCATAGTCATTTTCTGGTAAAATATTATACTTAGACAAATTTTTCCTTCCAATGACCACCCCTAAAAGCAACCCTTCTAAACACTATAAGCACTGAAGAAAGGCTGTCGCTTTTCCTTTTCGGAAGTTAGAGCTATGTCGACAACTGCCGTTTCAGAGCGGGGTCATTTTTAGGACTTTCGTCCCAGATTCAGGTTTTCGCACATATGCCATGTTGACCGCCATGGTCATTTTACCCTAAAACAGTTGAGATTACCTGTCCTAAATGAATCGCATACAAACTCATATCTAAAGGATCGATTGGATAAGTATTTTAGTTACATAAAAAAAAAATGGATCTAAAGGATCGATTGGATAAATATTTTAGATAACTATGGATCCGATGGGGAAAATGGATCCAATGGATCTAAAGGATCGATTGGATAAGTATTTTAGTTATATTAAAAAAAAATGGATTCAATGGATCTAATGGATCGATTGGATAAGTATTTTAGTTATATATATAAAAAAAATGGATCCAATGGATCTAAAGGATCGATTGGATAAGTATTTTAGTTATATTAAAAAAAAATGGATTCAATGGATCTAAAGGATCGATTGGATAAGTATTTTAGTTATATATATAAAAAAAATGGATCTAAAGGATCGATTGGATAAGTATTTTAGAAAACTATGGATCCGATGGAAAAAATGGATCCAATGGATCGAAAGGATCGATTGGATAAGTATTTTAGTTATAAAAAAAAAATGGATCCGATGGATCCAATGGATCTAAAGGATCGATTGGATAAGTATTTTAGTTATATAAAAAATCCGTTGGATCCATCGGATCCATTTTATCCATCGGATCCATTTTTTTTATATAACTAAAATCCGTTGGATCCATTTTATCCATCGGATCCATTTTATCCATCGGATCCATTTTTTTATATAACTAAAATCCGTTGGATCCATCAGATCCATTTTATCCATCTGATCCACTTTTTTTTATATAACTAAAATCCGTTGGATCCATCGGATCCATTTTATCCATCGGATCCATTTTTTTTATATAATTAAAATCCGTTGGATCCATTTTCTTTTATATAACTAAAATCCGTTGGATCCATCGGATACATTTTATCCATCGGATCCATTTTTTTTATATAACTAAAATCCGTTGGATCCACCGGATCCATTTTATCCATCCGATCCACTTTTTTTATATAACTAAAATCCGTTGGATCCATCGGATCCATTTTATCCATCCGATCCATTTTTTTTATATAACTAAAATCCGTTGGATCCATCGGATCCATTTTATCCATCGGATCCATTTTTTTTATATAACTAAAATCCGTTGGATCCATCGGATCCATTTTTTTTTTATATAACTAAAAACAGTGTTTTGGGATTTGAACCCACAAACCAAGTAGTACTGTGGACAATCAGTAAGGTGGTCTGTAAACATTGGCACAACTGCTTGTTCCATGCATAAATTTTTAACTAGTTTTTGGGATTGGATTTATTCAAATTTGAGGTGATTTTGAACATATATATTTTGGTATGTTACTCATTATGATATGAGTAAAATATTGTTCGTGTTATTTTCTATAGCTTTTTATTTGTCTTATCAGTTGAAATATATGTTGTGATTGTTTACGAAATATATCGAATCATTTGTGAATTGTTCGTTCATTTTATGCATGACGAAACCCGAAATTTATAATTTGATGGTCACAACAAATTTGAGCATATAAATGTTAAAATTGTATACCAAAACACTAGGTATTATATTTGAAATTACTGGAACACATGCTTTGAATTGAATTTCATACATGCAGTATTTTAAAAGTTCTGATCGATTATCTCTTTCAAAACTTTTGAAATCATGCATGTATGAAATTCAATTCAAAGCATGTGTTCCAGTAATTTCAAATATAATACCTAGTGTTTTGGTGTACAATTTTAACATTTTTATGCTCAAATTTGTTGTGATCATCAAATTATAAATTTCGGGTTTCGTCATGCATAAAATGAACGAACAATTCACAAATGATTCAATATATTTCGTCAACAATCACAACATATATTTCAACTGATAAGACAAATAAAAAGCTATAGAAACTAGAACAATGTGTAAACACGAACAATATTTTACTCGTATCATAATGAGTAACATACCAAAATATATATGTTCAAAATCACCTCAAATTTGAATAAATCTAGTTAAAAATAAAAACTAGTTAAAAATATATGCATGGGGAACGCGCAGGTGTGCCAATGTTTAGAGACCTTACTGAAGAAACTAACAAACATTGTGCAATATAAATCTGTATTTCTAGACCATTATTACTTGTTGAAAAACAAAATCTCAAGACTTTGATTTTTTTCATGAAAGTTACACAGTTGCTGGCAACAATGACGTTTAGAGAGTCTGGTATTTTTCCTTTTAAACGTATAAGACGAAAAACGACATATGCATTAAACCCGAATTATATTTCATTAAAGTCTTTTAGTATACTCAATTTCAGCCATTCTGTTCCAATTTATCTCCAAAGAGTAGAAGGCCTGCGGTATCTATCATATTGAATGCATATTACAAACATGGAATGGGAAATTATTGGGTTTTTAGCTAACTTAGTCAACCCTGTCAAAGCCATGATTTCAGTAGTGTTTTTGACGAAAACATTTACTTAGTACTTATCAAACTTCTAATCTTCATGGTAGTATCCATATTGTCACAAAAGATGCTCAAACCCGGCGAGGGGCAAAATTATACTTTTGTTAAATTTCTCGATTTATATTGATTTATTTGTTAAATTGATTTCAGCACATATAAATGCTGGGAAATTCCGTCACCACGTTTGGGTTTACCGTGAAATTGTGGCAAAAATAATCTTTTCGCTTTTGCTTAAAAGGCGAGTATTATGTTCTGAATTATGACGATCAAAACCTTATCTAACTGATTTTAGAAAAGTTGTATTTCGTATCTAATATAATACCTCAGGCTTCTGTCGACACAACCATATGAGTAGGCATAACATTTGACCCAAAGGTCATTTTGAATTATGATTAATATTTTGACTTTAAATATGCTTTAAATATTCAAATATTCTTTTTGAATTGTCAAATAATTGAGTATTCTGAGAAAAATCATTTTATGAAATAAAATTTGAGCCAGAATGAGTTTCAATTTATATCAATTGTTATTAAACTTTTAATCGAACTTTAAATTGTCTTGTAATTGAGTATATACAAAGATAAATCATTTTACGAAATAAAGTTTAGGACTAACATACTCTTCGGACATCATTGTTGCCAAACCCTTCAGATGTTATTTTACATCAGTAGGATACTATTTTTCAAAAAGTAACAATTGCCCAAAAATACAGATCTTAATTGCAAATTTTCCAACCCAATCTTCCACAGTACTATTCAGCCCCGACCACGGACACTGCCTTTTTTATTATTTTCCCCGAAGTTAAAGGCCTGCGAAAAAAACTTCGTGCGCACACCCTATTTATGCGTATTAGTTATTCCTTTAGAATTGCTACACATCGTGTGGGTATAGATTGTACGCAACCCTAGCATAGCAACTTATTAACATAATGTACGTTCAATTTTGACTTCCGACGTCGCTATTATGACCGTACGTCGCTGAGCTTGCTCTACAGAGTGTTTTCATGGCGACCATGTTCAGGAACAAATCTGGATCGAAATTAAATACATATTTCTTTTTTTAAAAAGCGAGTTTGC